GTCCAATTACATGACAGTGAGATTAGTGGAACCAACTATACAGTGATGGTAGTTGGACAGTTGAATTGGCCTGGCTATGACATAGAGTTAGATAACAAGCCAGTTGGGACAGTCACTGTAGCTCAGCCTGAGCAAATACAATGCAAGATGTAAGGCCAGGCCAAGCTGCCAAGTGTCTGCTCTTTGTTTGGGTGGGGGTTGGGTTCAAGAAAACTTTAAAGGTGCACAAGGTCAGAGAGTGGTAATTTTCTGATAAAACTGTTAGGTACAAGTAGGACAAGCAAAGCTGCTTAAGTATGGATAATGGCTGGACCACTGAGCAGGCGGTGGCTTTCAGATGAAACTGCCTGTCGAGCCAGTGGAGTCAGCCACAGCAGCTTAGCCTAAGCAGAATCAGTGTAGATATAAGTCTGGGTCAAGCTGGCTTGTATTTACTCATTTGCTTGGGTGAATTAAAGTTAGGTCATCTTAAAGGTACTTTAGGATCAGGTCTAGTGAATGGTGCTGCCTTTTATGAGAGCCAGCAGATTTATGACAGCAGAGCTGAATACCCACTTTGGGGCCAAGTGATAGGTAAAAACCTTATTTAGTATGGAAAACACCTGTTTGGCACATTTACCTGTGTACTGATCAGCAGTTTCTCTATAGATCAGTTAAAAGTGCCTCAAAAGGCTTTTCTTTGTCAATCACTAGTGTGGAGCAAGTAAATGAAGAAATAAAGGAGGTGAGAGAAACAAAATAAACATGCAGGTGAGGGACTCACATTAACAGTGTCAGCACATATTTTGCGTGACTCCTGCATAGTGATGAGGCAGAAGGCCGTCATGGAGGCATCTGAATCTGAGCCCCGAACATCACCCTACACATACAAACACACAAACATACTATATAAGGTGTCAATCAATGGCGTGTAATAATTTTCATATCCATTAGCTCTTTTTTTAGCATGAAGTCAAAGTGTTAATGAAGTGAGGGTACGCACAGTCATTGCTACATCGTACATCCACACATTACCAACTTCTCTAAACATGCCATCAGGTTGTTGTGTGTTGAGAATCAAATACTTGACAGCATTACAGATCACATCATTGTCTATTGCCACCAGATCGTAGGCCATGGCAAACACCTTGACAACATATGCTGTCAGCCTTGGAGAGGAGAAGAGAGGAGAGTTAATGTCATTGAACTGCAGGTGGAATACACCCAACTTTACATAGTCAAAGTCTAAGTTAAAAGAAGATGTGCAAATATTTATGTAGGAATTAAGGGCTCACCAGGAGCTGCAGGCAAAAAAATAGGTCCAGAAACAAAAACACCCTTTAGGTTTACGATACCCAAGCTGATAATTCTCTACTGAATCTCATCCACTGCTATTTGAGGAGTCCTGTTGAATTGGGGCCCCATTTAAATCCCCATGTGTCAGTTTTTCCTGTGATTATAACAAATTATTGTAATGGAATATGTTTTTTTTTAATCCTGGGGAAAACCTTTATAGTTATTGTCTACTGTATGTGCTCCATATCATATTATTTATTCTCAATGTCCCTAGCTCAGATCCATGGAGAAGGCCTAGTGTGCGCATTGTAGTCTAACACACTTTTTCGATTCTAGTATTTCCAAGTGGATGGCTTCATCACGTCTTTGAAAGCCCACAGTTTCCCACTGGTTGGTTCTGTCCAAATACGTGGTTGCAATGACAGGCAGGGTCATGCGGATCATGGTCTGCTCACCACAGCCTGTTGGCTGAACAATCAGTCTACCCATTGATGTGCCACTAATGACATTCTCCACCAGCGGAGCAACATTTTCTCTCCCTGCATGAATACAAAATTAAGTCAAGAGTCAAGAATCTTTATTGTCATTATGCATAGCACAACAAAGTTTTTCTGGCAGCTCTCTGCCTAAAAAACACATTATTTACATAACACACAATTGTATAAGTCAGTATAAAACAATGAGCAAATAAAAAGGGATGTATGGGACCTAATCAGGTCAGCGGCATGTTGGCAGCAAAAGAGTGTAGTAACATTATAAAGTGCAGCTCAGTGCAAATCTCAGTCTTTAGGAAGAGGTGTGAGCATGGGTGTGTGTCTGCAGAGGTCCAGTGTTCTGTCTGTGTCTGTCTGTCATAAGATTTACATTATTATACATTATCTTTGCTGTGTTTTAATCAATATATGTTATTCAATGTGTTTTAAACTTTCTGAACAGAGACGTGAGAAACTGAAGCTATCTTTCATGTGTAACTCTGTGTACTGTGATGTAATCAACTACAGACTGTTCCAGATGAAGAGAGACACAACTATCAACTGTAGGATAAGCATGTGTCTCAGTATGATTAGCTTCTAAGTCGTGTTATCAGGGTGTGCCTGTTTACTATATATTATGTTGTATGAACCTACCTCACTCAGACAACTTTGTATGCTCATGCTAACTTAACTCCTTGCTGCAAGTAAAGAATACTGCTTAAAATGTTCCAGTCACTTTGCTGCATTATTTAAAATTCCTTTGACACTGTCCATAGGGGTTGTGTGTGTGACTGGGGGTTAGGGGGTGATTGATTTCACAGCTCTGGGGAAGAAGCTGTGTCTCAGTCTGTTTGTTTTAGTCTTTATATTCCTGTACCTTTTCCTGGAGAGAAGAGGCACAGACTGTTGCCTGGGTGGGTGGGGTCTGCAGCAATCCGTCTGGCCCTCCTCTGGATCCGGTCAGTGTATAGTGAGTCGAGATCCAGAAGAGGACTCCCTACAATGCCCTGAGCTGTTATCACCAATCTTGCCATGTCCTTTCTGTCCTGTGCAGTGCAGCTCCCGTACCACACTGTCGCACTGAGACAGAGGATGCTCTCTACTGTCACTCTGTAGAAGTTTGCGAGCAGTTGAGAGGAGAGACCAGTGCATTTCAGCTTCCTGAGGAGGAAGAGCCTTTGCTAGGCTTTCTTGACCAGGTAGGATGTGTTCAGAGACCAGGTCAGGTCAGGTGTCAGGAACTTGGTGTTGCTCCACCACTTCCCCGTGTATGAGAAGAGGAGCATGCTTTGTCTTCCTGGACCTCCTATAATCTACAATGAACTCCTTAGTCTTCTTGGTGTTCAGGACAGGATTGTTATCTGAACGCCACCTTGTCAGGTGCTGGATCTCTTCTCTGTAGTGAGTCTCATCATTGTCTGATGAGACCCACTATGATGGTGTCATCTGCGAACTTCACAACTGTATTCGTGGAGTGAATGGCATAGCAGTTGTGGATAAACAGAGTTGGCTAAACTGGGCTGAGCACACAGCCCTGGGGTGTGCTTGTGTTCAGGACCAGTGTGGATGATGTGCAGCTTCCAATTCTCACCGCTTGAGGCCTGTTAGTGAGAAAGTCTTTAATCCAATGACACATCATTGCAGGCATTACCAGATTGTGCAGTTTCAGTGCCAGTTTGTCTGGGATTACAGTATTAAATGCTGAACTGAAGTCAACAAATAGCAGCCTGACATAAGTGTTGGGATGCTCCAGGTGGGACAGGGCTGTGTGTAATGCTGTTGAGACTGCATCTCCTGTTGATCGGTTCTCTCTGTAGGTGAACTGATGGCTGTCCAGACCAACAGGGATGA